CAAGGGGATGGGTTAAATGCAGAGGTAAATTTCTCCAATGTGAGATCAATAAAATTAAATTAGTTTTAATCAATTATTAGTTATTAACAGTTATTCGTTTTTTTTTTTACAGGTTGTGTAGCATTTTAGGGCTTTTTTTTTGCCGTCCAGTGTCTGCTGAACTATTAATGCCACTTGAACTTTTATGCCTTTTGTCCCTTTGCATCCCCTTGGTTTTATTGTGATTTTTGAGGATCACAAAGTATTATATATTTTTCAAGTGGAAAAATAATGATTCATGTTTTTTTTGTCTTTTTTTAAATGATTTAAGATTTGAACAGTAAAAAAACTCGAAGTAAAAATCCAGTGTGACATAATTCCTTCAGAATTCCCCTTAAAAGTACATAGAGTTGCCTGTGTGTGATCTCTTCTGTATATATACAGACGTTTGTGAAGGCTTCAGAAGTTTGGTACAGACTTTTGGTGATCCAATAGAATCATGAAGACGAAGGAACATAGGTGACAGGGATAAAGTGGTGGAGATAGGAGCCCCTTCCCATGCTTGACTCTCTTACACCCATTAATTACTAATCACTATCTCAGCTAACTTGCACAAAGACAAGTCGGCCTCTCAGATCAATTGACCTACTGATGATGTACGGTTTGTGAAACCAGCCAGGTACAGCCATTTTTAACATTTTTCTGAAACTTTCTATCTAAATTTGAAGCATTTGCTGTAGCAGATTTTATATGTAATGTTGACAGAACATTATACCTTTTGTTGTATTGTACTACAAGTTTCTTTTCTGGTGGGAAATTGCTGTGTGCTCTTTGCAGGTTTACAGATTGTAAAGAAGGCTTTAAAATACAGAAGTAGGTGAAAAGGCAGTTTCCCAGGCCGAGAACATTTCATAGGGCACAACCCATCCATTTTCCATGGTAGAATAGTCGGTTATTTCAAGTCTGGTCTTTATGGAAGAGGGGAAAAAAGAAGGCATTGTTAAAAGAAGGACTCCCTTTGGGGTGTGTCATAAGACTTCTGATAATGTTGAATCCAATCCCTTTTTAAAAATTATTTGGTGGCATCATTATGCTTCAGGGAATCTCTTTTTTAGGAGGGACAGGGAAACTGTTTTTAGGTAGATTGGGAAGAATATAGATATACATGTGGAGCCTAGGCAGACGTTAAACTGAATAAACTGATTACTTACTCTAAAAAAGTTTAAAAACAATCCACTGGACTTTGTTTCCAAGTTTGAAGACGTATCGCTTCCCATCCAGGAAGCTTTTTCAGCTCAAAATGTCAGAAATAGTGTTGGACTTGAGGTTTTATACGATAGCAAAACCTTGTTTTTGTTTTGAAATCATGCAAATTGAAACGGAAAAACGACTCCACCACTTTGGAATGGGGATTGTTTGGCTTCTTTTGTTAGCCTGCAATGCCCCATACCCACCTAAGTCTCTGAACAGGGTTTCGTTAACAGGAATTGTTGGCCTGGCTAAATAGGCGAGGTCTTCTGCTCTCCTGTACAGGGGTTGGGGTTGTGATGATAGCCGGATGGGATCAACTCAATTGCTGCATTGTATGTTTTTGAAAGCTGAAATCTGAGTCCACCCCCTCTGTATAAGGTTGTTTTTTCTTTCCGAACATAGATTGCTTCCTTTATGCCCCTCTCAAACCACCTATTTTCTTTGTCCAAAATGTCAACATTCTGGTTCTCAAAAGAATGTCCTTTGTCCATAAAGTGTAGATGTACCACAGAGTCTGGTCCCGAGGAGTTCGCTCTTCTGTGTTGGCCCATGTGTCTGTGGAGAGGTAGTTTGGTTTCTCCAACATAAAGATCAGAGCATTTCTTCCTGCATTGAACTGCATACACCACTCTGCTCATATTTGGTCCGGGGGTTTTATCCTTAGGATGATTGATTACTTACCCACATCTGCCTCTGACACAAGCTAATCAGTTTAGAATCACACCTCTACGAAAGCCAAATCAGCATCCAGAGTTCATCTTAAAAGGTCTCCAATCCACAAACCTCTGCTACCAAATGTGCAGGCAGTGGTTGCACTATGTCTGACTTAGATTCAGGTGACCTCGATTAAACCCACCTCCAGCCCCTCCTCCACCATCGTAACTAAAGCTTCATCAGAGTGTCCTTCCTCCTCCTTACCTTTCCTGTCTCATCTCAACCGGTATGGCAGAAGACCTCTATGTTTAGCCTGGTTTTGTCAGACGTTTTTTCCCAATGGGGAGTTTTTCTCTCCACTGTCACGTCATGCTTGCTCATTATGGACAGGTTCTTGCAACTTGTGTTATCCAAGCTGGACTTCCATCTTCCAGGTCCCTGAGTGAAGCAGTAGTATCAGCTCATGCAGTCCACTGGATCTCTCCATACAGCTCAGGCACACTGTCTTGCCAGCCAGCAGTCTATGGACTTACTTCATCCATCTCCACTCCACCATCAGTTTCAGGCCTGGGGGGAAACATCCCTGTTCTTTACTCCTGTTCATGCATATCAAACAAAATTCAGCACTAATGTTTTCAGCCGAGATCTGAGTGCCTAAGACTAAAGTAATTGTATCTATAAAATTCTTCTGTCTTTTTCTTTCAGTGAGTTTTTCAGATTGAAATAGGGCAATCCAGAAAGAAAGACTTAAGACTTACATTTTCAGCTTAGAGTTTCAGGCAAGACAAGACAATATATATTTATTGACTCCCCCCATTCAGTGTGACTGCGTGATATTTTCAAAGAAAAGTGAGAAAGAATGTCAGTCTCTAGATGTGTTTGTGGTTAAATAAAACAAAACATTCAAATAATTGGGATTTGTTTCCTTCAGTTTCACAAATATTGGGTTACGGTGAATGAAAAGTGATTTATGAGGACAAAATAAAAAAAAAATTGTGTAAAATATAAAATGTGCCGATGTGTGTTTTGTGGTTATTAAACATGCACAGGTAAACTATTTACTTGTAGGGTCACAGTAAACAGAGACACAAACTCACAAATTCCTCCTCATGACTTTAAAATATCATGCAGAGAAGAATGCAAGCTTTCATAGAGATTAACTTCTTGTCAGGTATTTTCTATACTTAAAATGAAGCAAGAAGATGCCCAGTTGGTCTAGACACAATCTGTCCCGTAGACTGAAACTCCTTTGAAACCTTTGAACGTTATTTTGCACTGAACACACTTTGTCTCTTTTCTTTTTTCCCTCCTTATGCACCCTGTAGACTTTAGACACATCCACAAAAGCAAATATATACAGCACATGTTTCACAGAGGTGTGTAGATGGAAAAGGGAATGGAGGCAGAGTGGGATAAAAGGGGATGGAAATTGCAATGAAAATACAATCATTTGCAGCTGGACAGATATAATTCTTCAGTGGAGGCAATGTAATACGCAGCTCAAAGAAAGCCCTCAGCTCATCCTCGTGGATTTGATTGACCACAGTCGCTTGTCAATGGATGCAATTGAAATACTGTGAGTGAATTACAACAACAGTAACCTGGATGTCCTCACATTAAAGCCCTCCATCCCTAAAGATTAAAGAATCAGAAAACCTACAAGGAAGACATACTGTAGATGCAATTAAACAGGACAAGGCAGCAGCAAGTCATTCTGTAAGAATGGGAGCTAACCAAACAGGCAATAATTTGAGACTGCTGAGTGATAACCATTTTAGGATAGATATCAGAGAGACTTATAGACGGCTAACTTTTAACCTTTCCAAATATTGTCACATTACACCTGCAGTATGTATTATAGGGATTCATTGTTATAGACCAGAATACAGTTGTACATTATTGGGATTTGGAAAGGAAATTATATGTTGATTTTAATAGATTTTACAAATAAAACCGTGAGCAGTGTGGCCCCACTCCAACCATCCCAATCCCTCCTGGCACCAGTTTCTATTAAAACTGCAGCTGGAAATCTTTTGGAGCAGGCTTTGCACACAGAGTGCAAAATTTGCAATTTTGCAAAAGAGCATAAGGGCATCTGTGGACAGCGTTTTTTTTAGTCTTTTCAAAGAGTTTTTTAAGATTTGAACACTGACTAGGCCACATCAACAGATGCCATGATCTAAACTAAAGTATTTTATTGTACAGTACATCTGCCTGACTGTTTAGAGCTATTGTCTCGTTGGAAGGTGAGTCTCCACCCCAGTTTCCAGTCTTGCGTAGCCTCACCAGAGGAATTTCCTGCTCAATTAAATGTTCCAAGCTTGTCCCATAACCTAACCCTGATTAAAGCGTCTTTATAATTCCGTGCTTTCCTTCTTGGTCGCTTGGGGCTATTTGTTTACTAAAGTTCTCTGGAGAAAGTTTAAGGGGTGTGAGTGCTTTTCCAACTAACTGTGCAAAAGGAAGCCAATAACTAATATGTTCTCCTTTTTTATTTTGCTGGTGTAAAATTTGCAAGATAACATTATGAGTTAGTCTTAAAGTGCATGTATAACCATGCAGGATTGCAGCAGAATCTTTCTTCACGAAAATCATATTTAAACATAAAAAAATGAGTCTAGCATGAAAACAAAGTGTAGCTGGTGTTAGTCAGCAAATATATCTCCTCAGAGATATATTTGCTGCAAAAATATGAAAAAAACTAGTACAATGCAGGAGCTTTAAATCTCTCTCAACGTACTGAGGTGTGATTGACCCTGGCCACATAGGCTTCACAATCTGTGAGACCGTACATATGTTTAGCAGAGCAATTTATGATAGTCTGGTTACATAAGTTGGCAACGCTTAGCACCAGGATGATTTTTGGAAAGGCTTTTAGTTTGAGTCTAAATAAAGTTCATGGTGCCTTGTGTTGTTGGGATATATTTACAGGCGTGATATAAAAAGATAACAGCAATTTGTTTGGAATATTATCAAATGTGTTGGCAAAGTCATAATGTGTCAAATTAACATATAGGAAAATTTAGAATATTCTGCTGAATGTAGTTTTTGATTTAGCACTCAGAACTGTTTACTGGCATTAAACAGCTAGTGTTGTGTTTCTTCTCGCTCTCCAGGTGGGATATGCAGGAGGATGCAGAGCTGGAAGATGCAGAGAGAGAAATGGTGGAAGAACTTCAGAAATCCTTTTTTGTTTGCTGCTGCAGCAAGGGACCGAAAAATGCCTCTGGAACTGATGATACACCAACAAATCCGACCCACGGGGAAGCACAGTCATGCAATAAAAGTACTGTCCAATAACATTTCACACCGTTGGAGTTTATATTATGTTGCATTTTTTTACATGCACTTGGAATTCTCGAGGTGGTTGTTTATGCATCTGGGCACGCTTTCATATGATCACACATCTGTGGGAATATTTTGGTCTGTGTTTGTACTCTATGTTGTGAATTTGCACGAATATGCACAAAGCATGAGGAAAAAAAGAACAGAACTAAAAAATAAAAAAAATACGCAAGAGCTGGTGCCTTCCTATGTCTTCACACACCTGAGACAAATCTTCTGTGCCGTTCGACGCTGCATAAGATGCATTTTCCTCTTTTTGGAACACATCTGCAGAAACCAGTTCCGAGAGAAAAAAGAGTCGCGATTTGTTTTTCAGGGACAAGATAAGACTGTGTGATCACTGCAGGTAGCTGATGTGTTTTAAGACAGTGTGGGTGGAGAGAGTGGTGTCAGCAAGCTCTTTCTGCTCCCTTTAAGAATACATCAAAGAATATAGTTTGGAAGCAAAATATTGTCTGTTTTGAGTTTTTGATGTGTTCCAGAAATCTGCTGCACCATACATATCAGTCAGCATTTAGCGCAAGCAGGAAAGTATTCATCTGCAATATGGTTACTAAGTATATTTTTCTAAATCTGTGTATGTATATATATATATATATAATACTACCTTACTTGAAATCAATCCTTATTTTAGATTATTATTTATTATCTTGGTCATGGATTGTTTAAACTGGCAACCTGTCCAGGGTAGACACTGCCTTTCGCCCACTGGCTGCCGGAAAAAGGCACCCTGAAGGATGAGTGGTAGAAAAGCTGGACTGGTCGGCAGTTTACAACATCGTGCACACACATTTACACCCACGGAAAATGTGGAGATGTTCATGTTTCATGTTTTTGGACTGTGGGAGGAAGCCGGAGTACCTGGAGAGAACCCACGCATGCACAGGGATACCGTGCAAACTCCTTGCAGAAAGACCCCAGGCCGGGAATTGAACCCAGAACAGTCTTGCTGCAAGGCAACAGTGCTACAACTATGCTGCAATTAAAAAAGTTGTTTGCAAAGAAAACTTAATGCAGTGGTTGCAAGATCATAATGAACTGTGAGGGAAAACTAAGAACAATGAAATCTTCTTTGGAATCTTATGAAGTTAAAATCGTAAAATGCTTTTGTGTCATTAGAAATCCACTACATTTAATGTAACTACCTGTTTTGTGGTTGGACACACAAAAAGAAGAAAAAAAAAGTCTAACTCAACTGGTACAGTAAGTGGTTTCTGCATGAAAGCATGGCACCTACCTCTAATGAGTACCTGTGCACATTTCTTTTGTTTGTTCGTTTGTTTTTGTATCAACAAAGAGGTAAGCTACCTCTAACACTAACTGTTTCATAAGAATACACAAAACAACATGAAACAGCTGTCAGCTGGTTATTATATGGTTACTTTACTCTGTTCTGTGTTATGCAACCACCCCTAGATCTAATGATAGAGAATATGTATGTATTTTTGTATGTATGTTTTGGGAATAAAATGTTACACTGTGAGGATTTTTCATGGTACAACCATAAACATAAGTGTATTGTGATTATTGAATACATTAGCAAAATGTGATGAAGGCAAAAGGTGTTTTTGGTGCTAATAATATAAAGTTCAGCAAGAATACTACTTTGAAACACAAATTTATCATGTTTAATTTAAACTCGGTATAAATATAGTCGTTAGGCCTTGAGAGGAACAGTATGTCACAGGACCTTAGAGAACAAAAATAATTAGGGCACAAACAAGACATGTCAGGGATAAATTTGATGGGATCTTTAAAGCCTGGCTGACTTACAAAACAATATTGGAATTGTTTAATAAGAATATTTTGTTATTTTAGAAGCACTGTTCCACACATGAAGAGGTGTGGCAATGCGAATATAGTAAGACATTGGTATGTTCCCCAGCTAACAGGCTGGGTTAGGAATAGCTGCCGTCAATAGGCCCCTAATGACCTTGGAGGAGCTGGAGAGGTCCACAGCTCAGGTGAGTTTATCCATTGAATGCAATATATATATGTATACAGTGAATAGATGTGTTATTGATTGGAGAAACTGCTGAAAGAATACTGTAAAATATCCTATCTTAAGTTTGGAACAAGCTATGAATTACTCATAAGAAACATGCAAGAGAGGGCTTTGGTAAGAAAAGACTAAAACACTTTTTGTATGTCATTGAGTTCTGCATTAGACTGTAATTGCCCAAATTATTTTATTCAGAAACCATCTTAAATGTACAGAGCGGTGTCACATTACTGACACTGTAATTAGAAAGCAGCTTTTTAGATTAAAGCATCTTCATGTCTTAAAATGGTGCAGTCTGAGCCAAAACCAGCCCGAAGTCCAAAAGAGGATTTTTGGCAAGGCTTGAAAATTATTATGAAAGGGATGTTTTCCATTCAATCTGACAGAGGCTGAATATAATTTCTTGATGTGTGAATTGTTTAGAGATAGACCTCAAATCATTTGTAGTTGTGAATATAATGAAAGGTGGTCCTATATAAAACACTGACTTAGGGAAGCTGAATACAATATGAATACATGTATAGATTTTATTCCATAATTCAAGCTGATAAAAAGCATTCAAGTTTCTGATCATAAGGTGACAGAATGTGAACATTTTCAGAGACAATACCTCAGTTTTATGAATGCTTTATGATAGAAATACTTTGGTTTGTTGTGTGCAGCTCTAGCAAAATAAAAAAAAAATAGACAAAGTTCATCTTTAAAATGCTTACATTTTGTTATTTCAGATTCACTTTGTTTTAATCTTAGTAAAATTGAATGCAAGCAAAGCAATCGATTGACAACTGCCAGAAATAGTAGATAAAAAAGCAAGGGTCGTCTTCTTTCTGATCCTTGCTTCATTTTAATTAGTTAGGATATCATTTGACAGAATATTTCACCCTGAAAAAAAATAATCCTGGATGAAAATTTTAATAAAATTTTAATAAAATTTCTATATGTTTTCAAATAAAAAAAAAAATCCAACTTGCATTCTGTTCACAAGATATTTTATAAATGCATATTTCAATCATACATTTTCACTGCTCTAAGGTCAGACAAAAGGGCTCCGAAACAACAGTAAAAAATAAAAAAAAAATGTAGAAACGCTGAAGTCAATTAACTCAATTTCTTTCCACCTTGATATCTAGTCAGCACGTTACGACAGTTGCCGCCGCTCTGCTACTGTGCCTTTAAATATCCATTCCAGTTCGTTGCCCCGGTAACCCGGAAGCTTCATGCGCCCCGTGCTGCTGAGCCGAGAGTCCTTCCTGTTTTAGAATTTTTTTTTTTAAGGAAGCAGCAACAACAGGAGAGTCGGTGAATGAATATGGTGCGTGAGTTCAACATAAAGTATGCATGCATCCGCAGTAAAAAAGCCCGGTGGTCTTAAAAACCTCCCTGTTCTGTTTGCTTTTTGGTGAATGTGTGAATAAACTGACCTGTTAGCAGTTGCTCCATGAAGAGCAGCTGCTTCTTTTCTTTTAAGCCTGCGAAACATCAACAGCTGTTTATCTAGCGTGGAGAAAAAAATCCAGACTCTGCTTTAAATGGGTTACATTAAAGCTTTGCCTGTAAAAATAAGAAATATACCGCGAGGTTTGCATGATTAAGTAGATAGCTGCACGTGTGCACACTAGTAGTAAACAACAGACATGTTTTCTGTTTATGTTTAGGTTAATTAAGTAAAGTACACCACAGCAAGCACTCACTAATCTACTATTATATATCTGAAAGAATATAAATGTGTCTTGTAGCAGCAGCTATGAGGACATTAATGTTTATGTTTATTTAATTCCTCCAGGTTTGATCTGAGGGATCTGTGCAAGGAAAGGACCTATGCGCTCTTTTTCTGCCATATCAGGGTTGTGCATACTGTGGATCACCATGGCGCAGATCGCTGGCCAGGAGGACAGAGAGAAAACCACCGCGCTCAAAGGTAAATAAACAAACAATGCTGAGGGGTGGGGTAGGAGTGCAGAGTTTAGCTGCTCCTTTTGGAAAAACAGCCCAACCCAACCCTGGCAAAGGTATGCATACTCCTTGAAGGTCAGTTTAAAAAGGGTTGGGCATTTCTACCTCTTTAATAAAACTCCTGAATCAAAACTTTGACATAAAATTAAAACAAAATGTGTTGCAAAGGGCAACGGATACTTTGAAAGGTTCTGTTTATAGTAAACTGAAACGCTTGTGTCAGAGAAAAATAAATATGTGATGAAAACAGGGATTTTTGAGACTAGGAAGAATATCTGCTATGGCTGTGAACATGGTGTCAAAAGTACACACATTGTTTACTTAAGTAGAAGTATAGATACTGCAGTTTAAAAACACTGTGGTAAAAGTTGAAGTATCAAATTGACCTCTTTACTGAAGTAAAAGTGAAAAAGTATGTGCTCTAAAAACTACTTAATGTATAAAAGTATAAAGTAACCTTTAAAAAAAAAAAAAAACAGCCAGATGCAACTTTACAAATTGAAAGCTCAATTTGACTATATTGAAACATTTTTTGACATAGGGCCAAGGATGAGGGAGGTCTTGTTGGTCTCCGTCTCTATCTCCCGATACGCTCCTGCTTGTCTCCGACCTTTGAGACATTTCAACATGTTTTTCTGAATCCGACATTGTAGCATGGCATAGACAATTCACATTTACAGTTTGAAGAACACCTGCTTGCTTCTGATGATTTCCTTTAGCTAACCAACGAGTGTTTGGGTTATATGACTCATCCAATTACACTAGTTTTCACTAGATGTGGATGGCGGCAATGATCTGCATTGGATGGCGCACATGACGTGAAATAAATATTTATAAACACAAAACCGAAGACAAGAGTAACATGTAACGTTTATTTTAAAAATGTAAGGAATAGAAAGTACAGATACTTGTGTGAAAACGTAACAAGTAGAAGTCAGAAGTAGGAAGAAAAATAAGTAATGGAGTAAAGTATAGATACCTAAAAAGTGTACTAAAGTACAGCAATGAAGTATTTGTTCTTTGTTACTTGAAACCTCTGGCTGTGAACTGATTTTGTATTGGTTTTCTTTGTTAACAGACTTGCTGTCAAGAATAGACTTAGATGAACTAATGAAGAAAGATGAACCTCCCTTCACCTTCCCTAAAACACTGGAGGAGTTTGAATATGCCTTCAATGAAAGTAAGTACCTTTCTCCAAGTCCTTAAAGCAGTAGCACATAATTGCAGAGGATGCTGGCTGCTAAGTAAACCCTTCAAGTCCCATGGACTGGTTGGAATGGAATAGAATAGAATAGAATAGAATAGAATAGGAAAGAAAAGAAAATCCCTTTTTTCTCCCACAATGGAGAAATTGTGGTGCTACTGCAGCAAAACATTATAGCAAAACTGGTCACACAAATGTGGATCTTAAAAAGTATATAAAAATAACAGAATAGATAATGAAAAACTGTACTTTACAGTGTTTTATACAATATAAATACTGTGCATCTGAAGAATAAATAGTCAATACTCAGCTGTGGACATTTTTACAGTAATGGATATGTGAAAAATAGCAGCAACACCATAGACGTACAAAATGACAACAGTATGTTATTTATCTGACTTAGAAACTGTGCAAAAGTCAGATAAATGCATGAATGTAATAACTTATTGAGGTTGTTGGGAGCAGTGTTGGTTATACAGTCTTCCAGCTGCTGGGAGGAAGGATCTGTGTTAACGCTCCCTGGTGCATTTAGGTTGCAGCAGTCTGTCACTGAAGGAGCTTTCCAGTTCAGCAGCAGCTTCATACATGAGGTGGGAGACATTATTTGACAAAGATGTTATTTTTGTTAGAGTCCTTTTGTTTCCTACCTCCTGCACTGAGTCCAGAGGGCATCCAATCACATGGTTGGCTTACCACCCAACCATTGCAGATAATGGCACTGGATCGTGGCATAAACAGGAAAATAGTGGGAAAGTTAGGACCAGAACAAATGCCCTGTAGGGTCTGGCTGTATCAGGCTAAACGGATCCATCCCAAGGAGAGTACAGCGAAAGGGGTTTAATTAGTAGGTGATTGGGTCTATTTACTGGCAAAACTGAACGCATGGAAAAATAAGATCCGGTGGAAAGCAAAGTGGGTTAATCAACTTGAACCTTTTTGAAAGTTAGAAAAGTGACATTTTGCTCAGAGTGACACTTGATGACACTGGTGATAGATTTTATATAAGGGAGTGCTGCTTGGCAAAGCCAGATAACATGAATCCCACTTGAAAATAAATAATAAAAAGAACACTGTTCAACTTTGGAAACATAATCCTTAGGTCAGAAAAAATCCACCTGCTCTGAAACTTTTATATCTAAATGTGTCTTAATAAGAATTAATAAGTGCATGATCCACAAAGTACATGAAATAAGTAATAAATAAATGAGTGCAATAAGTGTAAAGCTGGATTTATTGGTGCAGTTTCTGCTTAGTATTGATTGAACCTAGCCCTGCGTTATTTCCTTGCTGAAGTTTGTGCAAAAGACGTGTCTGTGTGCAGCATCCCCCAGAGAAAGATGCCACAACCAGCATGTGGGGTATTCATTAGGGGCAAAAATTATGTTTTATATCATTTTGTTGCTCAAGTTTATGCTAATGTCTCTTTAATTGTAAGCTGAAGATTAGTTGCAGCCTGGAATTGTCCTCTGAATTTATTGGTTCATCATAAAAGTATGTATTAGCACTGTGATAACCTCTGCTTGATGGATAAATGTACATTTATACACAGAGCTTCCAACTCTTTTGGATTATATAGCGATAGATATAGCAATAGACTATAAGTACATATTTGGTTGCTTTTTCAACTTGCTTGGTGGTTAAATTATCCAATGTAAATATTTTTGAAAAAAAACCCAGAGTATTTTTCTTTTATTGGGGAAAGAAGTGGATGTAATTTTTTTTTTTTTTTTTTTTGTGGCAGCACGTACATATCTATAAAAATAGATGCAATTAAAGATGTTTGTAAGTTATAGTTTAGTTCTAAGTCAAAAAAGACAAAAGAAAATTTTTTTGTAAGTAATCCTGATTTTATTTTTCTTTTGTAGGTCAGCAGATTGGTGAAAGAAATACAACATTGTAAAAAAGAAAATACAGCTGTTATAACCCTTCTTACCACTTCAATCAGAATAAGATAATCTGATTTAGTATTTAATTGGCAAATCGATTTTGTTGGAAATGTAATATGTTAATGTTATTAGTTACTGATTTCTGTTTTATTGCATTAAGACGACTAAAATGTTCAGTTTGCACTAGAAAACAGCTTTACAGGAAGATGAATCATGATCATAAATGTGGAAGTATTATTTACCAAATAACGTTTCTGATAAATTTCATGAGTTAGTAAAAGTGAATTCCCAAATTATGTAACCTTAAACAGTGCAGGTTTTATTTTAAGGGGGATTGTCTTAGAGAATAAACAATAAGATCACATCTGAACAAAAGCTTAATCTAAGAGCGTTCTAAGGCCACAATGATCCCCAAACACAGAAGTTTCCAAACTTTTCTTTTGGTCCCCCCATCCTCTCCATAACAGTAAAAAAAAAGGCAAATGCTGTAAATATATTATTGCAACAGAATTAACTCCGGAACCAAAAAAACTACCACTTTTGATGTGTAATATTAAAACAGTTTATTTTACTTTGTACCAGAATCAAACAGTGTTATTATTCCATAAAAAACCTCTCAACATGGTTCATTTATTTAACTGATTTCTCCCAAGCCCTCCTGCAATGTGCTGTAAATGATGTCGGCCAATAATTAGAAAAAGCTTTAAGAAGCCAAATTGGACACAAGACTCCTTAGATTGATTTAGGTAGTTTAAAATATCTAAAAAAATGGTAACCATACTATCATTTTCAATTCACTCTTTGACACAAGGCTTGAACCATAAATACATTGAGCTTCTGCTTGCTTTAGGTCGCCTTTGCCTCAACCGGGTTCAAGCATTAAACAAAACCCCATTGTTAATAAACAATTATTACATTTTTTTTATTCTACAGCATGTACAGAGCTGTGGTTTTAGAGCTTTAATCACTCAAACAGTGAGGAAAACCGCTTCATCTGCGTAATTAGACACCGCCTATCCTGGGGGAATCTCTGATTCAGATTCTTCTTTGTAGAAGCTCACAATAATAGGTTTAAGACAGCTTGTCTTAATCACCCCTGTTATATGAATGCTACATGAAGACAGTAGGTCAGAACTTCACTTTTGGTCACCTGTTAGACAAACAACTTACATTGCTTTGGATCCAAGGATTTTAAAAAGTACTTGACCAACTAGGCCTCCAAAGTCAGGATATTCACTCATGTTGCTTCTGAATGTTGTCAGCAGGTTGGAATTACAGGAAAGAAAGATTGAAGGGTTTGCTTCGCACCATGTTTTTGTTTAATGTCTTAGAGACTCTGGCTGTCACTCCTGGGGCTGTATGGGTTAAAACAGTGCATTGACAGTTTTTACCAGGCTGTTATCCTTCAATGTTTCTTGGCTAAACAGACCTCAATTTGTGACCTTAAGCTTCTGTGCATTTAGGCTCTACAGCAGGACAAGCACAGCCAGAAGACCACGTCTGAATGGCTGAAAAAATCTAACTGAAGGCAACCTTCCAACATGCCTAAATTAAAATGAATCTGCAGAAGAGATCTGGCCAGAATTCCTCAGCAGTGGGGTAAACAAGTGATGGCTAGTTACTGCAAATGCTCGATGGCATTTGTTGCGGTCTAGTTTGACAGAATCAATTATATTTAGGAGGTAATTACTTTGTCACATATGTGCAGGTCGGTTTGCTTGTTTTTTTCCCCCCATAATATATTAAATCAAGTTCTGAAAACTACTTTTTTTTTATTTACTTAGGTTATCCTTGTCTGATCTTAAAATTTGTTTGATGATCCAAATATTTTTTGCTGAGCAAACAACTCAGAAACCCAAGCAATCTGAAAGGCAGTGAACATTTTTTTCAGCACTGTAGATTAGGCTTGTCCCGATCCGATAAATGGATCGGAAGTCCAAAAACAATATCGGTATCGGATCGGAAGTGCAAAAACCTGGATCGGGACATCTCTACTGTAGATGGTCATCAGAGCAACAGATAAAAAGCTTAAAAAGCTGAAACTGTCACAAACAAGCCCTGATGAGAACCTAAATTAGTTTTACCATGGTTCACTATTAGCAGGAGGGTAAAGGAGGTGAAAAAAAAAAATTAAAATCTTTAAAACTCAATGTAAGTAATTGTAACAAAGGGTGCCATTTTTTGGTAAAGAAAAATTGCTTCTGTAAGTTTCACACCTTTGTCAGCAGTAGAGCTGTAAGTCCTAGAAAACATGTAGACATAGTCTAACCGACATGTGGGTTTAGCTGGCCTAATAATGTTTGCAAGATCGTTTTTGCTTGAAGTAATCAAAGGTTTAGGAGAAGGTAGAGTTTGGAGATGCATGTAAAGCTGGTGGATCTCCAGCTCTTAATATTCCCCCATAGTCTTTTGCCCGTCTTTATCTGCTCTATGCTCTGTCAGTGTCTGGCTGGCTGAGTGGGGGACATGTTGTGTACTCTATGGCCCGTCAGTAACCTACTCAGCCTTGCCCTCTGTCTGACGGAGAATTTGCATAACCTTGCTGCGCCTAAGAACAGAGACTCAGCACCTGAAATTATGCAACACCCACAAGCTGCTCTTCACACCCTCAAGTTCTAGCTCAGTCTACCATGGAGGCTGAAAAAAATGTCTCTTTTATCTTCCTCTTCCCTCAAAATCCCATTCGTTATTTTCCAGTTTTTTTTTTGGCCCCATCTAACCAGAAATATCCTCCTGAAACTCAAAGCAGTGCCCTTCGCTGAATCTTTTAAAATCTTTATGTCTTGTCGATATCTCGTTCAAAGCCCCTTTTTTCGAAGGATACCATTTCTATTTAAGCCATAGTGGCCCTCCGGCAAAGTCTCCAGTACGTCGGCTAAGTCACTTTGGCCTGAAGGGTTTTTTTTTTTTTTTTTCAATATAACTGAACTCATGCTATCATAGTCTGAGACAAGTGGAACAAAAATGTTAATTTCACCATGTAATGATATGAATGCAGAAGAGGCTGTGTACAATAGTTTGCAGGTATCTTAATCACTGAAGATGATGGCTTCATCTCGCCAGCCCTCCGGTTTTCCATTACTGGAAATC